GGCCTCCGAATAAGCTCCAAGCAAAACGTCTGTTGGGCCTATGCAAAGTTGTGCAGAGTTGGGCTGGGGAGGAATAGCGCACGTGCACACAACACGATGTTTCAACTAGCACCTCGATGTTCCGTAACCAAATAGGTAGGTATTCATTGACGGTGAGAAATTCCATCGAGATCGGGTAAATGACAATTTATCCGCCGACACTTGTGATGAATATCGTAAGGATTGACGCTTGATGGCCATGTTCATTTTAAAAATGAGGTCTCAGGCGAGCAAAACTTAATCTGTCGACAAAACTGGGATCAGGCAGGATCAGTTTTGTCCTTTACTTCCTCATTCTCTTTTTCATTTCAGTACAAGCTGTTCCGTGGTTTCTTTGACATGTTTTCCAAACCTAACAGAATACGGCAAATAAATAAAACATTACTGAATGATTGGAGTGAATAGAAGCCTTTTGCTCTACATGCTTGTTATGCTTCTGACAGGATGTATATATTTACAGATGAAAATAGGTGATCAAACCCATTGGTCGTACTTCCGAAGTACAGTTGTCTTCGCTGTCAAGAAAAACGACACAGAAGAAACAGGTTGGAATTTTTCCATGACAGGTGGGTAGGAGCCGTTCGGTCGGAAACATATGCCGGAAATCACTGATCAAAATGACGCTGAAAATATGTAATATAAAAAATATATATTATTATTTATAGTGTTGATCAAACTAGTGAACCGTAACTCTCGTTTTGGAAACATTTCAGTTTCCAATATCGTACTCGTATATTGATAGCAATGGGTAAAGCAAACTTATTACTAGCTTTATCTCCCACTTCAATGTTCTAAATTCTCTTCGATCACCGTTTGAACTTGCGAAACTTTGAGTATCGCGATAAAATTTCTAGTATTTTGGAAGTTACAGCTTAGAGTTGCAAACTATTTTATACAACGCGACATGGATATTTGTTCTCTGGTGAGTTGTTGTTAAGTTGACTAGACGTATTCCAAATTATTTATCTCTTTTCATTAAATGAATTAATAAATAATTTAGAGTATCAAGCTTGGACTAGCCCATTCGATTGTTCAGAGGCACCCGGCACTCTCGATGTTCTTGGGTGTGGGTTTCACTCCTAGGGAGATCGTTAATTCCCCACGAGGTAATGCATTCAAATGCGATGGAAAATATTTGTGATAACCAACAGATAAATAAGTGTCTAGCTTAAATCAATTGATGTATTATTTGACTACAAACTACTCACGCATTATGCTCAATACTGGAAGAACTGAAAATATTATCCACGATACATAAAACTCGACCGTTAGGTGTGCGGTTCGTTTAATAAAAGTTTTGTAATGTCATCATACCCAAAACCGGATGAAATATTCAAAAGGCTTTGGCATATGATTGAAGCAGAGATGCAACTCAATCGAAAGACACATAAATCCGATAACTCAGTTCTTGACTAGTGCAAGTGCTTTGATGTGAACAGCAGCCCCATTTGTTGCACAATGCGCAGAATTTCTCCTTCAGAACATAAATCAAGAGGGGGAAAACCGATCACATAGAAGCAAGATGATGATTGAATTTGAGTGCAGCTGAGAAAAACTGCACACAATCAATATGTGGCGGATGGTCCGGGAGGATTAGTCATTTTCTCGATTTTCGAAAGCCCCACAACCCTCAACAATAAGAGCATTCGTTTTATTGATGAGTTCATTAACAAGAGCTAAATTGTGGTAAACTAACCGTATAATTTTGACCGGTGATGGTTAAATGTAGCAATCTTCGTTTGCTGGCTGTCACAGGGTGATTATTTCCTCCACCTTTCTTTAATAATAATAAAGAACCATTTTAGATTTAGGAGTGTATTTCACATTATGCGCTCAAATATTTCAACTCATGACTGTTATGTTTTGATAAAATGAGACTCCCTAAATGTCTCAGGTTGTTGATTTCTTTTTATGTACAGAATACTTCGCAGAGAACTACGAACACTGAAGCACATTGGGACCAAGAGAAGAAATTCAAAATGAATGTAATACAAAAAATCAACCGTGTCATTTTAAGTGTTTAAGACGAAGAGAGAGGGGGAATTGACGAAATCGGTGACAGGTACACCAGTGTATGATATCTAATAGTCAAGAGCAATAAATCCATATACATTCCGTACGAGGAAGAGAAATACAGGAAAGCAATATGATACGAGTTGCATGAATTATTTATGTCTGAATCATTCTTACTGACTACATTGACAGCCGACTATTGTTTTTCTGGGATTAGACAATCATTGAACTGTAAAGGATACGCTTCATTTGTCTCACTTCATGCTGGTCTCGTGCAATGTGCGCATTCCGCTCCCTGCATCGTTGTTTTCCTCTTCTTTTGTGGAAGACCATTTTATCGGAAACTTAGATATTTATGAATATTAAAAAAAACTAACATGAATTTGATCGATTACTCTCTTCTGCGTATTTATTTGGAGGTGGAACTGCGAACCCCGATAGCTGTTTGATTGTGTCGCTTATGTTTGATCGTAACATGTCGCATCCAACACCAACTCATGATCCTTGCGAGTTTCATGCTCGACGTGAATTGCATAATATGGAGCTGTGCTACTTTTTCAAATCCACCAACAACTGGACACATATCTACCGACAGATGTAACACATCCATTCGGGAGATTCGCACTAGTCATTTGACAATATTTGGTTGGTAAGAGGAATATGCTACGTGGTGAATATTTTAGAAAATAACGGTGAGAAAATATGAAAGCTACAAGGGTGATTCATCCATCAACTTATAATTTCTATTTACAATGTAACAAGCTTATACTTGCGACTGTATGAACATTATGCCGATTTTGACTGAACATTCTTCAGTATTCATGTTCACTCAAATTATTCTATTCCACCGGTTCACACGTGCATGGAAGCACCAGTCTCACGTTCGGCTTTTATTATACTTCAAAAGTGAAACGCATTCACTGACTCAATAACGCGATGAACATGAGGAGGTCGAAACTGCTTTAATTCTGCTTCAATCGAATCACATCTGAGATGACCACAAACTGTTCCAAAGCCTTCGTTAAAGAAAACCGGCCAGCTTCTGTGAACAACAGAACGGATGGAAGACTCGACTCGTGACAAGTCGATAGACATGTATGGAATGCACAGATAACAAGTGGAAAAGAACTACTTCTGGTAATTCGAAACCAGAATAATAAAAACAGGAGGATTTTGCCATTCTGTAACGCTCTCTGTTTGTTATGTTCTTACTTTGTGCTTCAAGTCCCCTTTATTAAATATTGAACTGTTTTAACCAGGTTTATCTAGAACTAGATGTTGATCTGTTTTTGGTTTTTTGGAAACCGATCTGATCAGGTTGTTTTGTGATTCTAGTGGTCAAAATGCTTGAAAGACGTCGCGTTTTCTGATTACCACCGGGATTCTTCAATCCATCTGATAACAATCCGTGCACAAATTTGTGACGCTTAGGTTTTGATCAAGTGAAGCTTATGCTAAAGGACGTACGAGAAATAACAGGCTCAAAGTCGGTGTTAAAGAAAGTCCTTTCGACAGGAATTACGGTCTGCAACGATTACACATTCAGTTCTTTTTCTCTATGTCGGATNATGTGTGTGTGTGTGTGTGTGTGTGTGTGTGTGTGTGTGTGTGTGTGTGTGTGTGTGTGTGTGCAAATTGAGGATCATCGTGAATCTACGGTAAAATAACTTGAAAACGTTCACTGCAATTTAATCCTCCCCTGAAGTTCTTCTTTTACCTACCCGAGCCCAAACTGCAGAATGTTTGCAATGACGTTAATCTGTGTATAGGTTTGATAACGGCAAATAAGCTCGTTCCAGACAAATGAGGCATATTATCTGGTCTCGGCTAAACGATACACGTGTGTAGATAAATAATTCTATGTTAATGTCTCTGTGATCACGTAATATAACTAGGTCTATGTGATCCTCGAATTCATTTCCTCACAAACAAGTAACTTCTTAACATTATAGAACCCTGACGATTTTTCTCCCCTATCCCAAACGCATATTACGTAATGACCAAATATAAGACAATATTCCATTCACGCTTCATTACAACAAACCTGGCGTAGGTTTCGTTTGGCATAGAATCGAGGTCACACAATTTCGTGCGTAGTAGCCTGTTGATCAGGTAGTTTTACCGGGAGGGTGAAAAACACTGAATAAATGATTATGATCTGTTCGCTTCTGGGTTTTTACTATGGATTCGAAAGCGATGTTTCACTCACAGTTTTCCGGATCACATTAACTGTTCGCGTTAGTTTTTTTCTCATTTCGATCTTATTCCCTTAAATTCTGCGTCGAACTATGACGCACTGTCGAATGTCAATCTGAGAAGGATATTTTTGTTTCTCACGGCTAGCACAGTATTTGTCAATAATCTTCCCCGCATTGATCGGATAAAATGATCTTCGTGACCTATGAGATTTGTTCTGATGACATTACCGGATTAGGAAATGCCTCGATCAACAACATTCTGTGTCCTTCGTATTTCAATGAGAAACGAAAACATTTAAGCGGAGTTTGGTATTATGCAAAAGGTAAACTTGACAGACGTAAATCAAAGAATGAAAGCGAAATTGCCCTTCGCTTGCTTCTATTTCCGCACACAAATGTTTTCAGCAAGCACTGAACTGCTTTCCTGGATAGGCTTAAAATGATAAAAGTACCACAACAGAAAACGGGCAACGCCAAATTGTATTCACTTGTGTTTATGTGTGTTCCTGTGCGTGTGAGTGAATGTATCGGCTGTTATACGAGTGGGACGCAGTTATTCTGGAGTTTGCCCAATTCGAACCAGCAGGAAATGTACATGAACTAGTTCCATCGAAGCCGTTACTCCAATGTTTGTGACGGGTTTGCACTGGAGGAATTTCTTACACTGGGATTGGTTCTGATAATCAAATTTCGTGGTGAATAGGTTTACTTTTATGGAGTGAAAGAGTTACTAATCTGTGGTTGATAATGTCACACAAAGCTAGCCTCTTTGTATGCCGCAGCAACGTACTTTGGAGAGTCAAGCGGGCTGGACAGAAAACGAGTTACGTTACTGGTGCTGCTCGCCTCGGGCTGTCCCTGATATTTTGTCCATTCGGAAGTATCCTTCCTTGTGTTTGGATCTCTCCAACTTGTCCCATTGGCATCGTCGTCGTTTTTAATCACCGAATTACAAGTTTGCTCCGTTCCCACGGATGGTGAAGTGATGTCACCAATACAATTTTGTGTTTGTTCCACGGAAATGTCATCGTCTATTACGTCCGTAGTCAATGGTGAGGGTTTGGAGTTGTGACGTGGGATTTGCTGAGATTTCGATTTGGGTAGCAAGTTAAAATTGTCCTGTTGATCCGGTTGCCTTATATCGTAATAAGTATGGGATTGAATGGGATAACCGCTAGAACGGGAACCGTACAATGCCGTGGAAACGGAACCAGTACTAGTGTTCATGTTTGTGTTACTATTGACAATGGACTGATAGGTTGCCACCTGTTGGAAAGTTCTCAATCCCGGACGTATCGGACGATTGATAAGCGGGGCCAGGTTTTGCTGCACTTGATTGGACAAAGTTGGGGAACCGACAAACGGGTAAACGACTGAACGTCTGTCCATCGGCTGCGGCTGAGATCTTGAGTGACTATGATTGATCAAGTAGTTCGGGTCGGAACCTTTATAGTCGGGCAAAGGTGATCGGGTCCCAGTCGTTGCAAGTTGGTTCATGTGTGTCAAAAGAATTGAATCGGCTTTGGGTGGACGATTTCCCGTAAAAACTCCTCCATGATACATCCGCATTGGTGTGGGTCCTAAAGGACTATAGGTAAGGCGGCGCTGAGTTGCGTACAAATGAGGATATCGTTGAGGAATAGCAGTGCTGACCAGCCCCAAATAATCCAAAGTTTGATAATCATCTGCAAGGACAAAACATAACAATTTTTGATATTCCACTTATCATTATTAGGACCAAATGTTTATATATATACAACAGAAATAATCTTATGTCCTGAACGGCTGAGAATATTGTTATTTGAACGATCCACTTTCGGTAATCTTGTTTTCCCTCATTAATTTATTGGATATTTTTGCATCTCACACATTCATTTTGCTTTACTTCTCATAAGATGAGATCATAAGCCAAAGAAATGCAGAGATCCGTTATGTTACAAGCTACGTTACGCAATAAAATAATATATAATTTAGAAAAGAAAAAAATTCCGAATTAGGTAAAAATTCTCCACATGACTTCTTGAAATACTTTTATAATCCAAAAGATGAACATATTGTACATAAACATATATATATATTTGAAAGTGACACAAATAAAAGTCCTTTGCTATCTGTGTGTTTTAGTCTTGATATGGTTTCCATTGCTTCTCACTGTGAATAAGGCCAAGGTACAGTGCAAGAGACAGCTATTTTACGAACATCTTTGAAAAGCAAGAAATAAATGTTCCATACGGAAACAACCCGTGTAATGTGGACTGGTAAAACCAGTGTGATATACGGAAGTCGGAATTTCTTTGAAGAGATTAGGAGTTCGGTTATCTACTTGGGTTCTACACTCACCACACGTTTGTATGCGATGTGGTGTTAGGCGCCAGAACGCGTGTATGATTCAGTGCTTTGCTATTTTTTCTAGAAAAAATCAAATAGTCAAACGGAAACACGCTTAAGCATTTCCTTTGCCGGTAGGACGTGATTTCTCCCTTCGGAATCTATGCGGGCAGGAATGATTGGACTGGATTCGGTTTCAATCCTCCAGTCTCGGCGATGATTCAGTAAGACTATTCGGTAACACGACTCATGCTACACCTGACACGGGTGAGGAAGCTCAATCAGCCGTAACGGTACCTAGTGAAACGTTTTCCGACTTACTGTGTACCTGTGGCTAGCATTTGCATCGTTCCTGTCGATCTACCAAACACCAAGCGCAGCAATGGACATTGATTTTGGAGAATTATGAGTGAAATTCATTTTTTCCTTACTTGCTACTCTTGAAACATTGTGCTCTTTACGAAATGATCAATTGATATTTTCGTCCGGTAAATAACCGTAACGTTCGTGATTCATTTCTAATCACATTTTTACGTTCTCTTGCTTTGAATGTTCATTCTATTTGGTACTAGATAGTATAGTACAGTTACTAAGAGAAAATACCTGTTAAGTCACAGGCAATTGATTTGTTTATTCATTAGCTTGTCAAAAACAGGACACAGGGAAACACGTGCTCTGATATTTATATACTGACAAGACTGTATTTTAATAGGATCATGCAAAACCACCAACGATCCCATTATGGTTTTGATCGGATTTCTTAAGGCATTTTGACTGAATGATCTTTTTCGGATTTTAAAAGCTAAACCATCCTACGATAAGACCATTCGCGTGGAACAGTATTAGAACAATCTGTGGCACTTTGTTTCTGTACGGCAAATTGTACCTTTCCACTAACACGCCATGGCTATTCAATCAGAAAAAGAGTCCCGTCTAGCCCGTGGATTATCCAGCGGCTCACGCGGTTCAATTTCAATCACCACCAACAGATCTGTTCAAAGTTTTATTTTATCATAGAGCTATGATCCACAGTTGTCAGTAGTTCATGCGAATGTGGCTGAAATGTCAATTTTCATAAGTTCAACATTTAATTCTGTATTTAAAAAGTTAAAACATCCCTGAACTTCCTTTTCATCATACTCTAAAGTTCATAGAAATATCATTCTCGGATGTGCATACAAAATGCTAACTAGCCATTGTACAAAATGTGCGTTCGCATGCAAATTAAACTCGTGATCCTCCTTGTATAACTGGAATCCTACAAATAGTCCAGTAAATTAGGAGAATGCATCCGTTCATATTAGGTTAGAACAATTGTTTATAACTTTTTCTCTTATTTGATAGAACCCAATCAACCTGTCTAACGGGATACTCTGAGGTAAACCAAAGGCCTCCTGAGTTTCTTTGACCAATAAGTTAATAAGCGTTAAATATAGCCCTTCTTTTTATTTGTTCTCTGAGAATCCATGTCAATAAGATAATAGCGTGAAACCCATTTGGTAAATGTATTTATGAGGGGTGAAATCAACGGAAATTCGTAAGATGCAATATTCTCATGAATCCCTGTGCGTGATCATAACTTTTGTTCATTTTAAACATCCCTTTCCCGATAAATTCTTGAATAGGGTGCATCGTAATATCCATAAATCATTTCACTTTACCTATGCGAGGGCGCAATACAGTCAAGGTTTCAAAAGCAGTTACTTTCGCTGCGGTGATGGTGTACAACTTGTCGGTAGGTAAACCAAGACAAAATAAGTGTAAAAAACCTCCGGTTTTAGAGTAGCAAGCTTGAATTAGCCCATTCTGTCATTCAGAGGCACCAGGCACTCCTAATGTTCCTGGATGTGGGTTTCATTCCTTGGGGTATCGTTAATTCCCCACAATTTCATTCATTTACAAGTATGTGATAACCAACAAAGAGCACTGGACAGCTATTTCGTCCTGTTTGGGACTCGTCAGCAGTGCGTACTTTTTGTGTCCCTGTCAGGACTCGAACTGTGAACCCTCAGGTTGGGACTTGAAACCTTTACTCCTGAGCAGCACGGTCGACGGTCATCACCTTATGCGAATGGCTCAATCAATCTTAGTGTAGCAAGCTTGGATTAGCCCATTAGATCGTTGACGATTCCCAAGCAGAACGAAATAGCTGTCCAGTACTCTTTGTTGGTTATCACAAATATTTTTTATTGCATGTTAAACCTCCGGTTGTTCAAATTTACGCCCCTCGGTCATATTCCCTTCTATCAAATAAAATGCTTCTGTATGCTTCTGTCTTGTTCCGTGGATGCTCAGTTTTTAACACATGGCGCACAACTAATGGTGTCGATGTGGAACACCGGGGCAGAATTAGAGTGCCGCAGTCCGCGTAAGGTTCTTTCAACAATTAAATAATCCTTACAAGAGTGTGTTCGACCGCTTGACGTTGAATTTTTCCTTGTCAGTAAAGTAACGTTTATCTGTTTTATAATAATTTACGCAGACAACCAATTTTACATAAATGAAAAATAAATCGATTGTCGATTGACTTAACTCGGTATTCCTATCTTTTACCACCATGAGAGAGACAAAAGGAAGTAGGGATCGAGAGCCCGTTCAGTGGAAAAGCGACCCATGTACTAAACTGTTTTATCTCAGCTGTGAAAAGGTAATTTTCCAAGTTGATTAAAACAAGGACGCCACTCGTGTGATCGAATTCCTCCCAACAGAGTTATAATGAAGCAACTGCAGATTGGACAGAGCGATTATACCAGCATTCGCACCTGTCCCGCTCTAACTCACTTCACCGGTCAATCTTTAAACTAGCCTAGTTTAACTTAGTATTCGTGGGCGACTGAGATTATGGTTTGCTGTTGACGATGAGCAGATTTAATAGCTTAGATGTGTGGTTTTAAGTTAATCTTATTAGGGGAGTTACCCTTTCACGTAAGTGAAGATCTTCACGACAGTGCTAGGAGCTACAAAGAAATCTGGTTATCAGAATGTTGAAACAGAAGCACCATTTTCACTTTTTAGGATTATCATACAGTAAATCTTTGAGTAACATATGCATTCCTAACCCGTTGATTAGTCGCAAGCAAAATCTATGCTCGTGATGGAATTTTCGCAATTTGCCTTGATGGTTTGTTAACCAAAAGGATCGAAATAGAGCAAACGGCCATGAACACCAAAGACATGTATTGGAACCGTTCCATATAATCAAGCCCTTAACTCCCTCTAATTTACTCGAATACTGTAGACGAAAATAGTGACCCCTAAAGCGACTTTTGGTTACCATAAAGCTCGAATTTGTTTCTATTTGGTCCAACATAATTGACTCCAGATTTTTGATCATGGGTTAAACTGTCATCGTTTGACTAGAAGTTTAACCTACTGCTCATTTCTTGTAATCTCCATCCGAATCTACGAAATGATATTGTTTATGCAGGCATCTTCAGGCAAGTTCGATGACTGTAGTCCAAAGTCCGACTTACTAAGTCGCTGAACGTTTGGATTTGTTTCACTTTGTACATTGCGTATTGATATATTGGCGATCCGTTGGATTGCATTTGACAAGGTGAAAACTTCACTGATGCACAATTCATGCACATATAGAAAAAAGGTTTTCATTCCTATCAGTTTGAAGTGAACAATAGTTTTTCATCATCTCCAACACATGTGGCAGGTTAACTTTAATCCCAACGATTAGCATCATCTGAGGATCAATATTTCCAGCACATTGTTGTTCACTTATCTCCGCTGCGGCAAATGCTTACTACTGAGTACTCTATTGGTTCTTCCTTGAACGGAGAGCATAGTGTGAATATCTACCCGAATACAAAATGTTTAGAACCCGGAAATATTTGAAATATTTGAATGAACGTTGGGTACCAGGGGTTGTGCATTTTGTATTTTGAGAAAAAAATCAGGTGTCCAGTGTTCTATGTCGGTCTTTGCCAAACTGCATTTGATTTTGTGAAATCACTGAGCTCCCAAGGAGTTAAACCTACACAAGAATATAATATATCAACTCAGTGTCTGAATTGTTGGCGAAAATCTAAAATATATGAGTACAAAATCTATTAAGCACGCTCTCACACTTGTGTGTCATCAATCGAGTAGCTCAGGAGTGAGGGTTTCAATTCCCAACGTTCACGTCTAAATAAAAACAGTACGAGTTGTCAACCAATCTCAACAAATAGAGAAAAAGCTGCCCGATGCGCTACCTTAGCTTTCTCATCAAAATTTTATTTCAGTTTGACTCACTGTCCCGACATTTTCAAGCGATGTGAGAGCAAATATGAGGTTCCGGAAACGGTGGCCGACTCAGGTGAAGATTTACTCACAAATGGTGCATGATAAAGGAAGAACAAATGACTTTACGATTGACAGAATTCTTCATGGAAGATGTTTTTCCAATATCAGGAAGCCTTCCCCATACCGAATTAAGAGCTTCGCCTTTTCCGGATGGTAATTAGTTTCAATATGGTACGCAAAAACCACTAATAATTTTACCTTCAAACATTTACTCGATTCTTTGATTTCTTTATTTCGCTGAACGAAAGGGGTATAGTCGTTATTGAACAACGAGAGTGCATCGAGGTTCCATTTTTTCTTTGATTTGAAAGGTACGTTCTACGGTTAAATAGTATATGTTCTCTCACTAGGAACTGGTATTTAGTTTCNATCCGTCTTTTTCTATTTACCTCTGTATAAATGCACTTTTCAAGCTGCCACTTTTGCCGAATTCCACCTCCATCAATCTCTCCTCAGTGAGACTTGTAGCCTCGTGTGTGGATAAAGTGCACATACGTTCAACACCTTTTCGGTCTTACATGTGGAAGGATAATCATCATGAAAACAAACTATGCTACAAAATGGATGCTTGACGTCAAAATGTCAGAATGACAGTTGTAGGTAACCAATGTAAACGTTGTTGGCAAATTTGTTGCGCAAAGTGATCCAATGTAAGGGTTGGCTAACACCTCATCTGTTTAGACTTGATCAATCAGCACGATGAAACATGAGCTTTTAAGAAAATAGTTCGGGGTTAGGCGATTGCATAATCAGTCGTAGTGATGGACTGGTTGAATTCAAGATTTTTGATTGATAACGACTGACTCGTATTCATTCCGCTTGAGTTGCATAGATGAGGTGTAATTTGAGGTTGAACTTAAACCTTGTTGTTTCTTGATAACTATGTGCGATATAAGGATTACTACCTGGTGGAAAATATCCTCCACCTCCCATTTTTGATTAGCAAAAACAGTAACTAAACAATGACTTACTGGTTCGCGGAGGTTTATTTGTTTGCGTTCTTTGCTGAACTCGACCGGCGGCCCCGGCAACAGTAGGAAATCTATTGTCCCCGGATAGAAGCTGGTAATAGAACAAAATTGAAAAAAGGCGTTCAATATGGTTTGAAATAAATATCATCGGAGTTACTGAATTGTTACTGAATTGTTGTATTAAACAAAACTACTCCATGAACTGTACTACTACTACTATTACTACTACTACTACTACTACTACTACTACTATGAACTAGTTACATTGTTTCCTTAACTGAGAGACGCGGCGTGGATTTATCCTAAAATCAGACTGTTCTTTGAATACCTATCATTGTTGATGTAAAAAACATAAACTTTTTTCAACATCTTAAAATTCGTATTCGGAAAATAATGTATTTTATGATTAGCTGACATTCGCGTGCCCGATGTGAGTTAATGTGTCGGTAAACTATTGACGACCAGAGCAGTAGTTTCTTCTGGCGGTATACTCAAATACAAACGGCTGAAAACAGTTATTCACTTGCACAATACATAGAACAGACGTCGGAAGTCAAATGAAAGTTGGAGCAAGCCTACAAGCCGATGGTTTATCTGTTTTCAAACCCAAAAGAATGAAGGTGTAGTACTGGGTATCCCTCTGCTCTGCATAAAGTAACCCAAAGCTCATCCAAACTTCATTCTTTGTAAAATGTATCACACGCAAAATCAATTTCANGATATTTATGATACGCTTCGACATCTTTTTGTCCTCTTTTATATTGTGAAAAAATTGATCGAGGGTGTCCGGAAGACATACTGATATTATTGATCGGCATCAGGCATTCCAATTTCCGAACATCGGACCGTGTACTACACCGGTCAGCATTGGATCTGTAAAACATTGACATACAGTTTCATAGCTGG